GATGAGGAGAGAAGAGATTTATTTTATAATGACTCTTTATATTGTCACCAATTTTTAATAATTGCCTACCTTATCAAAACCCCATCTTTCTCTCTCAGAAAATAAAAATACAAATAAAATTTAAAATTAAAATTTAAAAAATAATGTGCTTTTACTACCTCACCTTCTCCTCCCATCCCTCAACCAAACATGAAAAAAAAAAAATCATGTACCTTCCCTCACTCTTCCTCCAACCAAATAAGAAGCTCAAAAAGATAAGTCCTTCATTACACATCATTGCATCGTATCCCACATAGCCTCACTTCTTTGTATCCCCTGTCAAACCAAGCTAAATACAATATTAGACTTATTAGTTATCTACGAAATCGTATTTGGATATCAATCGCTCATTATGTGGGGTTAACTAATTTGACTCATCAGTGGTTAAAAAGGTTGCTCGTGCTAATCTTCTGATCCCTAAGATTAAATCAATATAGATAAGTCACCCTCCTTCCTTCCTTATGGACCAGATTTTCTATCTCATATTTCGATTCGAACTATCGACCATGCCATCTTCGGCTTTTATCCTCGTGTATAGATAGATGTCGTTCTTCACATACTAACTTTTGTGTAGCACAATATCCACATGACACTACCTAGGCCTGTCCATCCGGTCCGGCCCGGCCTGGAAATCCGGGCCCGGGCCGGGCAAAACCGGAGCCCGGACCCGGGTACCCCGGGCCGGGTCCGGGCAGGGTTCCGGGCTGGTCCGGATTTTTTTCAATTTTTTTTTTATTTTTTTATCAAATTTTTTAACTTTTATTTAAATTTTAAATTAAACAAAAAAAAGATAAGAAAAATTAATAAAAAACAATAATTTTATTAATCACTTGATATAAATTACAAATAAAAAATAATAAAAATAAATTCTTTATTAATAATTAATAAATTATTTATAAATTACAAGTACAAATTTATTTTGGAATTCATCGCATCACAATAGAAAAGTACATTTCAACTAGGTTGGCACCTACTCACCTATATCACTATCATTTGTAACTATTTTCAAAATAATTCTTTACAAATTTTAAGCTAAGATATAAAAATTATAATTTATTCTTTATATCTATATGCTAGTCCCAATTCTTCAAATTTATCTTCAATTCCAGCCATCCAATCGATGCCTTGTGTTCGCTTCTCGTACCTCCACCAATCTTGTAACCACATCACCGCTTGTACAATATACGGATCTAAGCATGTCCTGTGGTCGTCGATCAAACGTCCTGCTGTGATGAAGGCGGATTCCGAAGCTACCGTCGAAACCTGCACTGTTAGTAAGTCACGAACCATGGTGGAAAGTATAAGATATGAAACTAATCTATATACTTTCCACCATTGCAACTAAAGAAGCAGATAAATATTCATATATTTCAGAAACCTCCAATGATGACGATCCAAGTCCAGATCCACCAGTTAGCTCAGCTACCATTGCATACCTATCAAAACTTACACTTTTACCTCGGGATGAGCTCGAAGAAACCGAAGCTGTAGACTGTTGTGTAGCTATACCATGTCTAACTGCATACTCATCATATAATATTTGAAAATAATTTCTAATAGCTAAATGATGAGTAGTAGCAGTAAGGGTGGTTCCATCATCTAAGTATATAATCTGATTACCATACAAGGATTGTAACAAACTTCGAAGGCCAATATCCTTCAAGCATGGATCAATAAGAACTCCCAAACCAAAAATATGAGGAATAGGCCTAAAGTAATTATTAAATTTGCTCTCCATTTGAAAAATCTCCATTTCAAAAACCATAGGTCCAAAAGTAGCATCCATACGATATTTATCAAAAAAAATTTGAATATTTAAAATTTGTAAAGCAGCTAAAGTAATGGTTGGATAATAACAGCCAGATAATAACATGGTAGCATCATAAAAAACTTGTAACATTTCATTTAAATTACATATAACTGTCCATTCATCTTCAGTTATTCCATAAGTGCTACCAGAACTAGAACTAGAAGCATAATAGTTTATAAAATCAGTTATAATGTCTTTATATTCTATTGCTACACTTAACATTGCATATGTGGAATTCCACCTATGGTCAACATCTTTTGGAATTAGTCTGGGCTTTATATTTTTTCTTTTACAAAATTGTTTCCATCTTTTAAGTCTTTGTTCAGAAGCATTATGCATATAAACAACTGTTCTAACCTTTTCTATCATGGGTTTAATTTCAGTAAATGCACTTTGAGCAATTAAATTTAAAATATGACAGATACACCTAATATGAAAAAGATCACCATGACATGGCAATGATAAAGTTGATCTGATAAAATCAACAACTAAATTATTATTACTTGCATTATCTAGTGAAAGAGAAAATGTTCTTTCTGAAATTTCTAATTTCATAAGTTCTTCAATTATTAAATTTGCAACATTAATACCAGTATGTGACTCTTCTATTGTAATAAAAGAAATGACTCTTTTAAACATTTGCCAATTTTCATCAATCCAGTGTGCTGTGATACATAAATATCCAGTTTGTGCTCTAGATGTCCAAATATCAGAAGTTAAAGAAAATTTACAGTTTAAATTTTTAAAATAAGAAATTATTTTTCCTTGTTCCTCCTGATAATATTTTAAAATATCACGTTGACAGGTTTGACGAGAATTTTTTTTAAATGCAGGATAAAAACCATCTCTAAACATATCTTTAAATTCATCATCTTCTACTAATTTAAAATGAAGGTTTTTAAGAATGATAAACCTGATTACGTATTTTCTGGCTCTGGCAGCGTCATAGTTCAAACTACTGAGACCACCAGAAGAGGAGGATTGAGAAATCATAGATTGTCGGATATCACCTTGAGGAGTCTGGCCTTTGTTGTGTTTATCTAAATGGCGTTTGAGGTGGTTGGTGCCGCTCTTATGATGAGCTTGAAAAATCTTGTCGCACAACGCACACTTAGCCTTCTGGGTGAGGATCCTACCGTGTTTATCCTTGGTGACGTCGATCTTCTCGTAAAAATTCCACACATCGGATCATGGCCTTTTAGGAGCTCTTGATACAGATTCGTCGCCACCGGATTCAGGATTAACTTCGGTAGGAGTAGACCCAGTAGGAGGACTCATTTTAGGATCGGGAGATAGGTTTTGCTCTTTATAATCAGATCCGGAAGCCATTTGATGAAAGGATTAGAAAGTATAAGAGAGTATAAGAGTATAAGAGAGAGTATAAGAGTATAAGAGAGAAGTAAATGAGTTTTGGTGTGAAGAAAACAAATAAAAACCCCATCTATTTATAGAACCAGCCCTCTAAGCAAATGACCAAAATAACCTCACAAAATAGCCATTTTTTGACCGTTTTGGGGACAAAACGGTCAAAAGACCGATATGGCGGGCCCGGCTAGCTCGGCCCGGCCGCGGTTTTTTGACAACGGTCACCAGTGGTGACCGTTGCACGAGGGCCGGGCCTCGGGCCCGGGCTGCCCGGCCGAATTGTTGCCGCGCGCGGCTTGTTCCGGGCCGGACCGGCCGGGCGGGCGCCGACGGAGGCAGCCCGGGCCGGGCTCCGGACCGGGCCCGGACCGGCGGGCTTTTTGGACAGGCCTAACACTACCTCAATGAAGGTTGAAAATCCTATCTTGCCCTCTATTTTGTTCATCGCAAAGGCTCATATTCTCCACTTAGACGTGGACAGTTCTTATAGGATGCATACTTTCTCTTCACTTCGCTTGTTGGACTCAAGCCGCTTATGTATGAGAAGTTTTCTAAGAGTTGAAAACTGAAAACATACAAATTATTAGCATTCAAGAGATCCCAAAAGTTACTGATTTAGATTGATGGAGTATTTGATCCAAATAATCATCATCTAACTTATACTAGTGACTATCCAACCGACTTCGAAAGAGGTGGCCTTTATGGCCTGTTTGGATGGAGGGTAGAGAGGGGGAAGGGAAGGGAAATTTCATTTTAACCTTGTTTGGGAGTTTTATTTTGGAGGGTAGAGGAGGGGAATGGAGGGGAAATTTGGCCCAAATTCTTACACCCCAAATTGGGGTGTAATGGAGGGGACCCTTCCTTCCCCTTCCTTCCCTTCCCTAAGTAAACTCCCAAACACACCATTAACGTGCTGCTGCTCCAAGGAATAGAGCGACAGTTGCCTCGGATATTCCACTCCCATATCCAAATAAACATACACCCGGTGAGCGTACCTCTCACAATCAACTAAGAGGAAAAAAAAAGTTCGGCTAAAATTAAGAACCTCCGGTTTTGAACAATTGTCGAATGACTCCCATACTTTTCAAAGTATCAGAAAATCTCCTTAAATCCAACAATAATAAAAAATTCCCCTTCAGCTTTCAACATTTCTCTGAAAATTCCCTTAAAATGTGAACCATAATTTTTCACTAGCGACAGTATTCCTTGCATTTTTTATCCACCCATGCAACAATTACTTTTAGTATGATTGCGGTTTTTTATGTAAAAATCTTAATGTTGAAGGGACTTTTCTGATACCCAAAACTTAAGGGTTTTATTGTAAGGAAATTTTTTAAAATAGACCACTTTTACTAAATATTTAATAAAATAGACCACTTTGTTAAATATTTAGCAAAATAGACCACTTTGCTAAGATGTCGATTTTGAAAAACAAAGCTCAGAAAACATACGGGAGTACTAGTCCCGTATGTTTTCTGAGCCTTATTTTTCAAAATGACGGTGATTAAGTTGGCTCTAAACATACGTGACTAGTAGTCTCGTATGTTTTCTGAGCCCTGTTTTCCAAAAGCGACCTTTTTTTGGTTTATTGGCAAAAAAAGAGATCTATTTTGCTAAATATTTAGCAAAAGTGGTCTATTTTAAAAAATTCCCCTTATTCCAATGTTTGGTAAGTTGCAGGGGTATCTGATAATCGTCTATTGCTAAGGGAGTTTTGCTGAAATTTAGCCCAAAAATTCCTCAAATCAATCAACCCCCCACCGGTTAGAGATCTCTTATTCTCACTGGCGGTTACAGCCCAACACAACAATTTTCATTTCGTTCCCCTTTCCTCTCTCAAAAGTCTCAATTAATTCAACCGGCAACAGTGGCAGAGCCCTCACGCTTCGATCCATCAATGCCCTGCTCCCAATTCGCTAAAAGAGAGCGGTTTTGTTAGTGAACCCCTTTCCTTCGATCGGTCGATCGACGTCAATGGCGAATTCTACCGAGGGTTTGGTGCCGATCACTAGGGCTTTCTTGGCTCGCTACTACGATAAGTACCCCCTCGATCCTATTTCTGATGACGTTGCTCGACTCACCGGCGAATTGCGAGGGATCGCGGGTGATCTCGTGAAGGAATCTCCTCTTTTGGCCGGTGATTCTCTATTGATAACTCTTTCGATCGATTTCTTTGTGATTTTGGATTGTTTGTAGATAGGTTAATGCCGCAAATGAGAAAAGGAGCTAGTTTGCACGCCAAAAGGTGAATCTTTATTTGATTTCGGGTACTGTGATCATGTAGTGCGCACATCTATTGCATTTTTTGCTACTGTTAAGCCCTTTAAAATGTGATGCTATACGTAAGGAGGAAACTTTGGTAGTGTAAATGCCCTAGATTACAACCTGAGGTTTAGAGAAACCTATCATCGCTTCAAAAATAGAAAAGAGAAGTGGAGACGAGAATTGAATCTGCAAGATTTACAATTAGTGGAGGACAGAAACAATACAGGAAATACTTGGTGTTGGAAATGGGAATGCGTGAGTAAGATTGACCATTTTTGTTTTCAAACATCGACCTTTCATCATGGAGGTAAATTGAAACGGAATGTTGCCACTGTAAGTAGTAGAAATATTGAATATTGGAGAAGTGCTTTTGTAGCATCACAAGATACTGGTGAAGTTGGACGGAAAATTCTATAGGAAAAAAATGACACTGGTTTATGTGTTTTGGATCTATAACTGCTAGTTTGTAAATAAACTATATCTCCACAATTACATATATTTGAAATTAGGAAGATGAAGCTATTACTTGAGGATAAGAGACAATGTGAAATGGTTTGCACTCCGTAGAACAGTTGCTGTACCATTTAGAACAAAATGGACTTAGCTTGAGGCTGCAAACCCCACCTATTTAACTGAGGTAATGACACTGAGGGAGTTAAATTGAGAAAGAGAGTTCATATAGCAAAGCCTAAGAACTGTAAATTGTGACAAGAAGGATTTATAGTTAGTAAAATTTTTCTTTAGCTATTTTTAGAGATCCAATCGTGCAGTTGAAGAGATTAGAGTCTGACACATCTGGTCATAACATGTGTGTCCGTCAGTGTCAAGTTAGTTGTAAAAGTTGTTGGATTTGCTTCTTTTGTTGTGGAAATATATCTTCATTAAAAATTAGGTGTTATGTTTATTTGTAATTGTTAAATGATCTTCATTTGCTTAGCTTTAATAAACTAACTGAATGACATGACATTAATTTTTATTTCTCTAATTAGGGCAAGGACTTGCAACAGTTGTTGCACCCAAATTGGGCTGCTGGAAATGTTGTAGCTTTTTCTGGAAAATAGACATTCAATTTGCCAGTCTTAACTGACTTTTTGCTAACCAAACAAAGAAATAAGTTGACTGCAGCATTTCTTACAATAATTTTAATTCCTGTCAAGCAAACAATCCATAAGTTGTGCTTGGTTTAGTTTTAGAAGGACCTGCTTAGCATTGTAATTTATGTACATGGATGTTAGATAACTTGGATTCACATGATCTGGTTATATGATGATTGTAGCTGGGGATATATGAGATCAAGAAAAATGATAGGAGTTGCTGGTGTTGCCCCCTATATAGCTCGAGCTGAAGCATAGTTTGGATTCAAATTTTACATTCATGATTGTAACAAGGTCTTTAAACTTTTGCATAGCCGCACACAGCAAGAGTCAGATTGGGAGAAATTAGGATGTAAATGAGAATCAGGATGCTGGTATCAAATCAGAGTAGGCTGAGGAATATAGTGGATATAGAGGAGAAAACCTATAAAATTGAGACTTCAGATTCCAAACCAATAAATTTTTTTTCCGATTAACTTAGTGGAGGAGATGGCCCTCAACATAACTGAGCAAAGGAGAGTCATTCATATAGCATACCTCAAAAACTTCAGGATGAAGACTTTGTTGTTGCTTCTGTTGTTGACGTTGTTATTCATAAAAAATTATTATAAATATTTTAATATTTTATAGATTGTGCATATATCAGAATAAAGGAGACCTAATTGAGTAACGGTCTGATTCGAATCAACTAGCATACAAATCTAAATAATTGTATGATGGACAAAGCTGTTTAGCTAACAAAAAACTAAACTGGTTTATAAACCAATTTGGCAAATACTAACAATACCTTAAGTTTTCCAACTGAATCCAAATCAGATTGCAACTAATTCTAAATGGGAAATGATGCAACATAATCTAAAGTTGAACTGAAAATAGAGTGGTTTTCCTGTTCTTAATACTTTTAGCATGCATTATTTTTCCTCTATGATGCAGGAAAAATCAATCTCTGTCCTGACAAAGATTTGATGAAGATTTTACTAGGATTTGATCTTATTCTCTATAATTTTCTATTTAAGTTAGAATTTCTTTAGGATTTGATTATGATATCTCCTTCTAGTTTAGTTAGAACTTTATTTGGTTGCATCTTTTAATTTGGTAGGTTCTGATTTGAGATTTTAATTTATTTCTTTAAGTGTTTAGATGTTATTCTTTTCTATAAATAAGATGTATCCTCCATGAGGAATAGACTAGGATCAAAAGTTCTTGAGATGTGAAACGCTTAGGTGTGAAGCCTATTGTCTAGTGGAGTGTGAAGCTCTTGGGTGTGAAGCCTATTTATCTAAATCCTCTCTTCTTTTTAGTTCTCCAGCTTTCAAATCGAAGCCCTCAGGGCATCCCCCATCATTCTGTTTCTTGTAATAGAATGAGAACCTATTTGGATTACAAATATATTTCTTGACATAGTGCTTATGGCGTTGCGCTTATTGGAAAGATTTATCTTTTATTATCTTTTCCCTTCTTCCCTCTCTCTATACATTGCTCTTATTTTGCTCATCATTTCAGTGTATGCTTAATGGTCTTTTACGTGAATGTCATTACTTTTGGAATGCTGCGCATTTGTTGATAGTTTGAAAATGAGGATAATACCCGTTGAAGAGTAATTGTTTTCACACAAAGTTTTAGTAGTAACTCTTTTGTTCCACATATTCATGTATTTTCTTTCATCTCTGAAGGTGAGGAGTCATTGGCCCAAGAAGCAGATCTTCAACCTCCTCATAAAATGGATGAAAATATGTGGAGGAATAGGGAGCACATTGAAGAGATTCTGTTTTTGCTTGAAAAATCTCACTGGCCTAGAACGGTGAGATATGAATTTGGTCGTCGTTGTATTCTCGCTTGCATGTTTTGAACCACAAACTCTTTCTTGATATCTCATCTTTCTTGAATTTTGATTTTCTGCTTTAAAGCCTGCATTGCCAGTTATCCTTTTTTCTAAATATACTATTTTTGTATGAGTTGGTTACATACTTACACGAGCTTTAAAGTTTTAAGATATTTGATCTTGACTTCGAGTATTCTGGTTACCTGAAATTTACATGTATGCAGCTTCAACAGAAAGCCACACCTGAAGATGCTAGCACTGCAGCTGTTCTTGAAGATCTTGAAGCCATATTGCGACAAACTTTAAATACATTGGAGCAGTTCCAGTTAAAAAATGCAGACAATGTATTTAACACAGGTTGATAAATTTTACTGGTTTAATGCTACTGTTTTCATTTTTCATTTGCAGTATTCACTGACTAGATCACTTGTTCTTTTTATTGCTCTTGTGGTTATTTATCTAGAAATAGAGTTACCAAGTTTAGGGAAATATTTAAGCCACTGCTTGAATGGCAGCCTATGTTAGACAACTCTCCTTTTCTAGTGTTTAAATAACTGCAAGTAGCATGCTCTGGTCTAAAGTTAAGATGGATTGATAAATAATATAACATGATTATCAAGATAAAGGGTTATTCATTGGTGTAATTTGGGGCAAGTTGGGTTAAATTGTTCCAATGGGGTAATTTTACCCAATGAGATAATTTGAGTGGGATAAAGTGGGGTAAAAGGGGATAATGGGATAAATTTTGGGGCACAATTAATTACAATGAGGCACAATTAATTACAATTGAAAAACATCTAAAAAATCGGCCGATTTTTAGCAAAGCTCGGACCATTATATCACCAATTCTCAGTAGAAGAGCTCACGAAATAATAACAAACGATTTTTAGCAAAGCTCGGACCATTATATCACCAATTCTCAGTAGAAGAGCTCACGAAATAATAACAAATGAGGAATAAAACAAGAAATATCACCAATTCTCAGTAGAAGAGCTCACGAAATAATAACAAATGAGGAATAAAACAAGAAATAAAAAAAATAAAATTTATCCTCCCATAACAAACCATCCATCCTTCATAGATCACCTTCAGTGCTTCGTTCTTCTTCCTCATCGAGCTGCTCTTCATTCTTACTCGATTCAAAGGGATCCAGACGCATCAATCAAGCTAAATCAAATGATGCCCTAATTCGTCGTCTTCAAGCTCGTCGTCGTCGTCGTCGTCTTCATTCAGTTCAACCGCCGCCTCCGTCGTCGTCGTCTTCATTCAGTTCAGCCTCCGCCAGAGATCCAGCCTCCGTCGTCGTCGTCTTCAAGCTCGTCGTCGTCGTCTTCAAGCTCCGTCGCGTTCAAATCTCGGCCATCCGAAGACGAGATCGATGAGGGCGGCGTCGATTCCGATAACCCTAGCTGGCTCCGTCGCCGATTCAGATGGGGTAATTTTGAGAACGGTGGGGAACGAAGTGAGGTGGAATCGAAGTGGGGTAATTTGTTCCAACAAAAGAAGCGGGGTAAATTTTGAGGGTGGGCTGAGCATTGGTTTTTATAGGTGGGGTAATTTGGGGGAAAGTGGGGTATTTGTCCCACAATTACACCAACAAACCAATAACACCTCAAACTTTACACCAGTTCCAATTATCTCATTGAATAACACCAAAAGTTGATGTTCCAAAAGTTACTCCATTATCCCACAAATTACACCAATGAATAACCCCCCCTAAGTAATATGGAGTTGTCCTAGTTTGAGAATTTGAGGAGTGTGCTATGTGATTACATGGCCTTAAACTGTGCGGCCTGTTTTTTGCTTATGTGAAGCATGAGGACAGATATATAACGCATGTACTATAAAGTGTGGATACAACAATATAGCACATAATAAAAAACTAGGACTTGTAAATAAGTGATGACAACAAAGTTATATTTATATGTACAGTGATTTGCCTATCTATATGCAACACAATAGCAAATATGCTATATTATGAAAGTTCAATATGCATGCTCATCATAGATAAATCAATAACAAAATTATACGTGTGTTAATCCTCATTATCTGCAGCATGTATCTAGAATGGTTAAACATTATCTGCAGCATGTATCTAGAATGGTTAAAAGAATATTGATATATCAAATATTATGAAATAGTTTGACTTTCCTAAGCTACCAGGGCTGGGGACAAACAAATTCTTTATTTAGAATTCCTCTTTAATAATCTAGACAAGTTATATAAATGTTGTGCTTCTCAAACCAACGAATTGTGAACCCATAATGATGGATTTGGTTTTCGAGTATTAGTCCTATTACATGTATGATCTTGGTGTTCCCTCATATTTAAATGATATATCTTCTTTATTGCATCTTCTTTGGAAATAGGTTTATCTAGACCAGTCAGATAGAGTTAATGCCCTTATTTTAGGTCTGTTCGAGATTTATATCTTTGATATGAGTATTTGTGTCTCATCATCTGTATACTGGACTTTAACATGCTTACCGACTACGTTCTATTGCTGCTGCGAGTGCTGTCATATTTACCATAGCACAGACTATTTTTATCCCTTCTTCTCACATTTAATGCGGAACATAATAAGTCTTCTATTTTTTAAGGTATTTGGTTTCCTATTGGATGATTTATGTCATTTCTAAGATATGCTATCAACTGTAAGTCTTAAATCAAGGGATCTCTAAACATTTGCAGTTATGACCTACATGCCACAAGATTTTCGGGGCTCTCTAATCAGACAGCAGAAAGAGCGCTCAGAGAGGAACAGGAAAGCCGAAGTTGATGCTTTGATTAAATCTGGAGCAACGATACATGACCGGTATGCTTTGCTGTGGAAGCAGCAAATGGAAAGGTGAGATCTTGTTTATTCATTTAGATTCTTGGTAAATTCATCTTGTTGGTTACAGTAAATACTAAAATTATCTTCTGTTATCAATTTGAAATTGTGGACCTTTTTGATGAATGTTTTGACCCAGACGGAGACAACTAGCTCAACTTGGTTCTGCAGCAGGTGTCTTCAAGACACTCGTTAAGTACTTGGTTGGCGTACCTCAGGTTTGTTTTGGAGATAGCATTAGAAGCTTGATTTAGTAATTTATCGACTTGGTTTTCATTCCAGAATTTCCTACTTCCTATTGTTTCTTCATATATGGGAGATATATTTCTTCCTCTGTTCCTTTGAAGTAATGGCCTCAGAAGCACAAACAGAGGACATAAGTAGTTAGGTACTGTCAATTAGGTTACACACCAAGATGTTACAGATACACATAATTTAACAGGTAAAGCTCGGTGCACAGTGGCTAGCATATCTGATGTACATTGCGTAACCATTCTTCTTGGACTTGAGGTAAGCTATTATCCTGAGAAATATAGATAAGGATTGAATGATAATATTTGGTGGTAGCAAGACAGATTCCCTTTCCTTTCAACACCATGGAACAGGAAATCTAACAATGAAAGCAAATGGAACATATTGTAAGGTGACAGAAGTTGCCATCACCTACTTGTTATATCTTGAAAGCATCTCCGTAAGAAAGAGGTTAAAAGCACCAAAAGCCTAATTAAGACACGTATGAAGGGACACATATGAAGACAACAATCTCCCTGTTTATGATTTATGGAGGGGGAGAAAAACAAGTTAAACTTATGTGCAAGTCAAAGCATATATAAAAGAATACTTTTAATAATTTAGCCTATATATAGAAAACTCATGCATGTAGCACTTGTATTTACAGGGTGGAGATGCTCATATCTTATTTGTCATATACTCTCTCATACACTCTTGACCCTTCCTCAGGACCATTGTGGTAACCCCTTGGAGCATGTCAAAATAAATACCACTTCCCCTGTTGACATTACCAAATGGGAGATAGTAAAACACAGTTGTGCTTAGATTCCACATGATAAAGTAGACATTTTGTGGTGTGCATAATATAGTCACCTTCAACAAGTTGGAGCATTGTTCCCTATGTTGAAGAAATATGCAGCGTAGGCTTTCTAGCCCTGTGTCAACTCCAGTGCTGACCCAATCTGTTGGCGGTTGAGAGTGTTGTGGGGACTACTATGAAGAACATAGAGGGTAGAAAAGTGGTTTTCACATTTATTTGGGGAATGAGAACAATTGGATACCCATGATCTCTATGGTTCTCATAAGATCTCCTAGAAATGATATATATAATAATCTTGATGTAAAGTGATATCTGACAGATGCTTTCATGTTCTGTTATCTTTCCCCCTTTTTGGTTGTCTGTATGTGTGGAATTCTCTTTAAATTATAAGTGTATCTATTTTAGGTTGGTGGGTGCCGGGGTGGGGTGGGGTCGAACCGTGGTGGCCGTGGTCTAAGTGACGCTCTATCCCTGTGAGTTGGAGCGTAAGGCGTGCCGGGCGAGGGGTGCTTGTGGTGCCTTAAGGAAATAAAAAGAGGGAGTTCTGCTGGTTTTTGAAGGCAATGAAATGAGGATAGCTAATTTGGGGATCGAGGGGTATGCTGAGTTTCACTATTTGTAGGTTATGCAATATGAATATACTTGTATCCTGGAAAAATGGGATGGTCCTTTAGTGGAATTCTGTCAGTACCTATTCATGTAAGTGTAGTACTATTGCATCTTTATGTGTAACCCTTTAATTTGCCTCTTGTTTTTGACTAGTTAAGGCCGAGGGGGCGGTTAAACCCATCGTAAGTCTCCTTTGAACCCTTGGACCAAACATGCTTCAGGAGATCCAGACCGTTGAAGGAAACCCAGGACTTAAGAAATTCACAGGATAAGATCACAGAGATGAGCAGGTTTTGATCACTTGAAAAAGTGGTATGGGAAATGTAAAGTACATACTAGAATTTCTGGGAATGAATGTCTTAGGAGTGTGGTCGTAGTCACACTCGTAATCCCATGTGAAGTGACATAATTCAAATAGTAGTAAACAATAAAAAATGATTAAGAGAGGGTACATGACCAGATCTAATGGATCGTTTAACAGGCAATGTTTATAAACAAAGAAAGAGTTGCAGAAGAAATATGTTATCTTGAATGTAATAGATGACGTTTGTATTTTTGGGAGATTATATCCTGTAAGCTTGTGCATAGTTATTAAACGTAGAGAGAGCCATTGCACAGGGGACAAGAAGCAAGGCTGTTGCATATGTGCTTTGTATGGTTGAGTTGCAACACGGACGTATAAGCTCATCTACAAGTTGATGACTGATGGTCTTGCTGTTGGATGCTAAGGCCCTCGTGGACATATCTTGAGCTTGTGAGGAGATCCAATTACAGGTGATGGGATCCATAGAAGCTCTTAAGTTATCATTTACGTGGAATTTGAATTTGGTTTAGGATAAAATTGGTGTTATATCTAGATTAGTGTATTAGATATCTTCTATTCATAATTTGGAGTGGATCCATAGAAACTCTCAGGTTATCATCTACATGGAGTTTGAATTTGGTTTTGGATAATATTGGTGTTATCTCTAGATTAGTGTATTAGATATCCTCTATTTATAATTTGGAGTTAGGACTTTTATCTTTTTCTCTGTTTCGAATTTGAGCTGCTTCAGAAGTTTGCGTTTTAGTTGAACTGGGTACCTAAATGTACTCAATTAAGATGGTTGCATATACTAAAAACTTTGAATATTTAATGAATGAAATTTGTTTATTAATAGTCGAAATCTGAAGAAAAACATGATTATGGATTGGTTTGAGAACTAAGTTCCTTGTGTTTAGCTTTCTCTAGTTTTCTCCTTTCGCTTGTTATATTTAGAAAAGGTTTCTAGTTTTCTCCTTTCGATTATTTAAATTACTTGTTTTTCACTTATATCTTGTGATGCATCTTCTTTCTTATGTGTTCAATTCGGAGAAAATATTTCCTGTAGAAAAGTGAAGTAAATGATAATTTGACTTGAATGTTCAAATATGGATTTCAACTGCAGGTTTAAGCATAGTGGTGTTCTCTTTATTTGAAAATTGGCTGTGTTTATAAATTACGCGGTTTATAAACTATTTTCCAACTACTTTGTTATGTCATGTGATTTGTTTCCTTTGCTGCAGGTATTGTTAGATTTTATTAAGCAAATAAATGATGATGAAGGGTACGTCTCTACTTTTCAGACTACCTATGCTGAAAACACTATTTACTTTCTGATATATGCCTTCTGTTTGCTCTCTGTTGTAAATTAGCTTAAATGATGTGTGCTGTATGAATTCGACATCTTTTTTGTGTTTCGGATGTCACCTATTTACATTTCATACATGCTTCTGTTTTTTTAGGCCCATGGAAGAACAACGTAGTCGCTATGGACCATCCTTATATAGCCTTACAAAAATGGTGGTATTGATCCATCTGGTCCTATTACTTTCATGGAGTCGTTTTGACGGAAGAAAATTGTAAGTTATCTTGTTAGTGTTACTTTTACTTACAGTAATAATAAATTCTGCATCTCTTTATTGTTTACTTTTCTTAATGCTTTTCTTCATTATTGTATGTTGCGCAGACCGAAGAATCAATTGTCTGTTATACAGCAGGCTGTTCAGGTGTATACTTCTGAGTTTGAGAAATTCCTCAAGTTTATTAGGTACTTACCGTGAAATCTTCAATTGCTTGTTTTGTTGTTCATTTAAGTGAGCTTATCATGTCATGTGCTTGAGAATCTGTGATACCTTTGACTTGCCATCATCATTTGTTGATATAAACGAGCGCTAAAGATTGTTAGTTGTTACAGCAACTAAAGTACATACATTTCAGAAACTTCAAAAATATTTTTTTTTTCTTTTCCATTTATCTGGATCTTATGAATCCTGGGATCTCATAACCGTTTAATTATCTCATATTCGATTCAAGAAATTAAACCCATGGTTCTGCACATTAAATGACAAATGTTTTTCTATTGACAATCATGAAAACGATGTATTACATATATCACAAAAACAACATATCACATATATTTTAATAAACTAACATCTTTGACTGGGTCCGTGAGCAGAAGAATGGCTTGCACTTGATGAAGTTTACTCTCATACTCGTATTACTATAGTCAATCTCCACTCTGGACCCAAGGATAGCCTAGAGGGTGCCTACAGCATGTAAAGCGTATTTAGCATACACCACATCAGAGCATAGGAAAAAGAAACCATTTTCTTTTGAAAGAGCGCAAAAGAGATGAATTAAAGAAGAGTGGTGTGAGTCGTCCCTATAGCGTGAATTAGAGATCACTTGCATGCTTCTGTTGTCTGCAGTATAAATAAAAAAATGCATATAGTTCTAATTTTATGAAATCTATAGAATTTATCAGTATTCATATATGAATTTCTCTAACATGAAGATAAGTACAGATGTTCTAGTTAGTGTTTTTCCGGCTTAGATGTGAAATATCCTTCTCTGATCGAACTCATTTTTTTTCCTAAGAAAAGTTTTGATGTATTGGGATTCAATAGGATATCGTGTGAAGCATGACTTGATTCATTGGTTTCCAATGAATTTGCCCTTCTGGTTTATATATTTGTGTAGGTGCACGGTATTCAATTGGCCTCTTTACCCTCAGGCTTGCTATCAGAAGTATATGATGGTCAAGTGTTTTCCAACTTGCAGTGCTGCAGTTCAGTCATGGTTTATTATATCCCTATCACAAAAGTAGGCATCCTGGCAAGCATTATATTGGGTTCAAGTTTGGTTGTTTGTTTGCAAGTAAATTTTTTTGTTTGTTTCTGAAGATTTAATTTTAATTCAGATCAGTCATTGATACTCAAACTATCGAGGATTATATCTGCAACATCCATTTCCTCTATTGTTTGATGTACATGTTTTGACCTAATTTACTCACTGCAGTGAGGTGTTTGCAAATTCTCCTTTCTTAATATCAGCAGAGGAAGCTGGTGCTGTTGAATCTAGGTATGTGCTTCGTTCACTTACACTACCGTAGTTGCAGACATTTAATTTTTTTGCGTCTATAAAAATGATATTGTTATTTTCATTTAATTCTAAAACCTTCTCTTTACGTCTGGCAGAAAAAATGATGAATATAAAGAGATTGTCATTCTACCTGGAAAGACACACGAGGTAGGACATGTTAGAGGCTAACCTTCTATATCACATTTTTTCTTGTGTTCTGTTGATATGATGTTGCCTTATAAACTTGGCATGATTTAGAGCTTGTTAGAGAAGGGAAACAAAGAAACTTTTTAAAACCTGGAACTTTTGAACAGAATAAGTGGCAAGCATTTGTTCTGTTTTTTTCCTCTTCATGTCTTTTGTTATGTCTATCCAGTAGCAGTTTTAATTGTTGTTCCTTGATTGCTGTTCAAACACTTGCTGTGTTTCATGAAACATTTTTATTTTTTATATTAGGACCATGATAAGTAGAATTCCCAAACTTAACATGTATCTGCTTTAACCAGACTCATTGTTGCAATAGATAACTGTTCTATTATAGGAACAACACTTGCCACATCACAAACTTTCCAGAACTTGATAAGCAAAATACAGTTCAGTCTTTCTTTGATATCATTATATAGCTTACCTTAATATGACACTTTTACCTCTATTATCATGATGTTACTGTTGTCCATTGAGGCTTTTTTGTTGATGTCGACCTGCAAATGCCATCCAACCAAACAATCTGACAGAAATCGGTTCTTCTACCTTTATTTCATATATTAAATAATCAAATTAATCTCTTTGGACTATTAATTCCTTGTAATAACAGTTACATTGACTCAGAAAACTTGCATCGAGCTTATTATGTATGAGAACATATTGAAGGGGTTTGGGAAGGCTTATTTTATTGAAGCTTATCACCTATGTAGCTATGCTATCTTTTGGCTTTTATGATATAATTTTATAAACTTGTATTGGTAGAAAAGTCATTTTCTTGGTCAAACTTTTCTTATTTAGGGGAACTTATAAGTTCGTTTTTCAAAAGTTGGAGACTCATAACTTTTTTAAATGAGACATAAGAGCTAGCTTATTTGGGATGTCATGAAACACATAGATGTGGAAAAGCTAGCTTGAAAGCTATTTTAACCAAAAAGTAAGCTCCCCCAAGCACCTTCACTGTAGATGCCAGTATTCTGCTATTAATCCCATGCAAATCCAACAGAATAAGAGTTAATTGTTATCTCAGACATGGAATAAAATAAGCAACACGTTCCGATTCGGGCTGAAATCCGCTCAGGGTTTGTTGGGGATGAGAAGTGAGAGGGGAATGGGAAAAAATGTTTTCCTTTTTTTTGGGTTGGGGCGGGGGGAAGTGAGGGATACATTATATTTTGCAAGTTGGGAAGGAAAAAGGAAGCTACATATTGTGTTTGGATAAACAAAGTGGTTGGGGATGCGGGGAGTTATGTGGGTTTGGGTACAAATGCGGGGAGTTATGTGTCTGTTCCCGTATTTTAGGGTTTTTTGCGAAATTTAGCCCAAATTAAATCACTGTCCATAAATACACACTATTTTTTTGCTCATTATGACGTTCTGGAAGTGACATCTCTTTTGATCTATATAGGAAATCAAGTCATTTATAGTTCCATCTTTTGGTTCATACATATAGACCTTACACAACCTGTAACTTTTTTGTTCTTTTTTCCTGTTAAACTTTGAGGAGATTTTGTTACCAACTTAACGGTGTTAATATAGTTTAAAAACTTGCATTTGTTTTAGGTTAGTTATTGCAAGCTTGATTCTTTGCTACTAAAGCTTTTGTGTTTCTTGAATCTCTCAATTGAATATTCTTGTAGGTCAACTTGACCGTGGATTCTGTGAACTCGTACATTGCTTGGGACTTTTCTCTGATACAAGGGACTCTAAGTCAGGTATGTAAAGCATATATGTAAATAATTATCATGTTTTTTATTCCCTCGTATTATGCATGCAAGGAACTCTACAATAAAACCCCCCCTTAATTGATACAAATAATTCATAGTTTTAGTCAATATGCACATCATGATTTTTTGTTGTGCGGGATTTGGGAGGAAAAAAAAATAATTGCAACCGCTCATGAATGCAACTCTGCTCTATAACTTAGATAATTTTAACGCGTGCCATTCACATTTTCAGTTTTCAAAAGATTTAACAGAAAAAAGGTAGACTTATGAATAGACGTTTAGTTAGTAGCTAGTTTTTTCCCCGCGCAATGCGTGGGATTCAGTATTAAAATATTGTTGCATGCATTATTTTGCAATATTTTATTTTTGATAAATTTTTTAGTTTATATCTAAAATGTATATTATAATTCAGTGTATTTTTAAAATAACAGTTATGAATAATTGTTACAAAATCAATAAGATTAGAATTATGATATTTTTATAACCTAGATTCTTAGCTGAGATATGTATGACACTATTTTCAATTAGGTAAGAATATTTTATTTTATATGGAATAGAGAAGACGAGTAGCTGTAAAATGGATAACTTTTATAATTAAAGTTGAAAATTAAGAAAACATAAAAATTAGGAAGACATAGGAAAAAGGAAAACTTCTAATCAAAAGAAAGATGAGCCTTGTCGTGTAGATCACCAATTTCCTGAAGCTTTTAAAATGGAAAGGAAAAAAAATGTAAATAAATGTTTAGTAGAAAAAAGGATGAGAAGTGTCAAATTAATATATAAACATGACAACTTCTATCCAACATCTAAAAGAAAATTAAAAGCACAAACCTGTAGCATTTCATTGATATATAGTTAACCTTTCAACTTCCATGAGCTTCAACCACCTTTAGAAGTAGTTTCTATAAATAGAAAAAAAGGAAAAAAATCAAATAAAAGCAGTACCAACTCAATGAAGATATAAAAATGAAAGAAAATAAGTTGAAAGGACATTGTTACCAAGTTCCACTACCACCAAAAATTGACAAAAGAGAATCATATGGTTTTGAAATAGATTATAGATTGTAACTTGCGTAGATGTCAAGAGATTGAACTTAAATGCCACAAGTAGATTAGTATAATGGGGATATTAAGAGGTTACACTTCATGGGAGAGAAGTTGAGAGGTATGTGGTTATTATTTAATGTTAATAGTGAAGGTTTGCTAGACTCCTGGAATAAATTTTAATAATAATAATAATAATAATAATAATAATAATAATAATAATAATATATTAAAAAAAGAAAAGGAAAAATTCTCAGAAGTCTAGTGTCTTACTTTAGTATATATATAGATAGATGGTATTTAACCATGCAGTTCTATTGTCAGACAATAAGATTTTAGTGCTAATTCGTTCACATTTTACATGCGTAAACACTTCTGTATACGCGTTGTGTTTTTAGCTTGGCACTCTTCCAAACAGATGTTTAAATAAGCAAAGGTATATAGAAGATAAATGCATGTATAGATAAGATGAGATCTTAGGAAGTTCCGACCATTTGAGTGTTTGGGCTTTATGGTTATAACTTAAAAGTGCAGTCAACTGGATTTTGCTACTATTCTTTCAAGTTTGGCAGTTTGGGCATATTTTTCTAACATGATAGTCTGGCCTGTTAGTTTGGTTTAGATTAGGGTTCGTTGCGACAATACTTCCATAGAAAATCATTTCCGGTGTTTGATGATGCTTTTTGTTTTTTCCCCTTACTTTCAGTTAAGGATAAAAAGCCATATTTAACTTTTGAAAGTCAAATATGCATGCACAGGATATTGGCTTCCGTGTGGAGTATGTCAGCACATCTGGAGAAGTTACTGTAAGATCTCTTTTGGAAATTTCGGAGTTCTTGGTCCTCAAGGGACTTGTTGGTTTAAAAAAGTAGTTTTTTTTTTGGTATCTGGTTGCCTCTACTCATGTATTTCTGCTGTGCAGATGATTTTACCTTACCGACGGTATGAGTCTGATCAAGTGAGTTGCTTTGTCTTTTTTTTGGTCCAGTTGACAACAACCTCAATAATTCTTGGTCTTGGGACCTTTTTATTCATTAATTCATTGGTGGCAGGGAAATTTCTGCACAATCTTGGCTGGATCTTACAAACTGGTATGGGACAATTCCTATTCTACATTTTTCAAGAAGGTATGTCTTTTTGTTGACAGTGTTCATCTAGGTTGGCCTAGAGATGAGCTCACTTAAGAGTCTCAATATACAATATAATTATTGAAAAAAGATTAATAATAATTATAATATGATTCATTTTCAAATTGGCAGAGCTTAAGGTACAAGGTGGACGCTATTCCCCCTGTGTCTGAAACAACCGAGCCTGTTGCTGAATCAGAATGACGATCATTATTGATTCTTTAGGTATATTATTCTCTGAATTCGCTCTTTAGAGTGCAATTCTTATGTACTATTGCTTCATCTTCTTGGATCAACATGGATTTTTTTTTGTTGATCTCAATCTTGGGGTTCAGTTATTGACGCAGCTCTGGAATTTGTATACGCATGATTTATGTACAAGTCACCAATGAGGTGAATATAAGTTAAAAGACATTTTCTGTCTTAAGATATTTTAGTATATATAGGATTCTTTATGGTTATGAAGAAACTCGAAAGAAAATTGTGTCCTCCCACACAATAGATACTCGTGCTTTGTTTTACTACTGTTTCATGATTGTGGCTAAAATTTTAATTACTGCACATGTATTCAGTTGGAAAAGGAAACGTGTGATCGTTGTGTTTCCGTGGGAATGTTTTGATTTGTATGAAAATTAAAGTGGTACCAAGTGCAAAGTTTTAACTTAAATCCAATTTTCAAGCATTGAGCCTGATCTGGATTCTAGATTAAGTTTGATATCTTGAGGCGAAGTGATCTGTGAAAGTGTATGAAATAGAAGCTATGGAGTTGAGAACTGCGAGACCGAAACCAATTGTTTGAACAATAGTGATAACTATGCTACTATTTCTATCCTGCTACACACCACAAGAGAGACACCACAAGAGAGGATGAGCGCGGGTCCATCTTCTTTATTTTTAAAAAAATTGATGATACATCAGCAGGGGAAGATCATACTTCACTCTCTTATAATGTTGAATTAGTTTGAAGCATAGTAGTATAGTTATTATTATTCTTTTTTATAATATTTTAGGGTGGCATTAGGGGCACACCCCCAATTCTAACTATACCCTCTCTCTCATTTGCTACAGTGCACCGGGTTTCATGTGAGATTTTAAATTTTAAAATCTTATGTATGACTCGGTGCATTGTAACAAATGAGAGAGAGGGTGTGGCTGGGGGTGTGCCCTTATCATTTTCTAATATTTTATAATTCAATCTGATCCCTTATCACTAATCTAGGAAGTGACTAGTGAACTGAGTTTTGAATCAGGGTTATCATTGGGCATGAAGAAATGGATTTCTTAGAAGTAGGAACGCGGAGTTGAAATTGTAGACTTATTCCTAACACTGCCTACGAGTTGTTTCGCTTTGGACAAGTGACATTAAGCTGATTCTGCTTGTTCTCTTGTCATGTATTCATATTTTTTGATGAATATCAACATCTGAACGCTTCCATTTTAAACATGGTATTATATGTCCGAGTGCCCTGTTAGCCATACGAGATGGGTCCGCCTCCATTTGTACCCACCAAAAATTATGTGCAAAAGATTATGTGTTACGTAACGCTGTAAATAAATTAAAGTGGGCGTTTAAAAAAAAATCATTTTTTTTCTCAATCACGATGAGATTTTATTTAGTCATATGGAAACAATTGACTTTGAAATTAGTTAAAAAACTACAATGAACCTTTTGTTTCAAAAAAAAAAAAAAAAACTTGATTTATAGACAATTTTTCAAGAGAAAACACCGTATGTTTTCCAATAGAAAAATGCGACCCACTTTGCAAATGAAATGGAAAAATGATGGTCTAATGACCAAGGCAAGGCATCATGTCCCATCTTTTGAGTTGTTTTCATGCCATTCTTTTTCCATTTGACCAAGGCTTTCAAACTGCACAAAACTAGCATTACTCTCCGCTTCTTGGTCCCACCTAAATCTCTTTCCTAAGAGGCTGTTTGGTTCCTTTTTTTTGGGTTGTAAAAATGGGAAAATCTACAAAAAATGTCAGCTTTTTGGCAGCTTTCCCCCAAAATCACCCCTTAAAATGATGATTTTGGAGGAAAGCTGCCAAAAAGTTTGACATTTTTGGCAACTTTCTCCTCTTTTACCACAAAAAAAAAAACTATCCAAACAGCCCCTTAACCGTTTCCCTCCTCGTTCCCCTCTCTCTCTCAACAAGATCACAAACTTCTTTCTTTCTTTCTTTCTTCATTCCTAATTTCTTTCGTAACCATTGCCCAAATCTTCGAGGCGAGAAATGAGTCGATCGCCTCCTAACGTTACGATCCCAGAGCAGCACATTCCTGAACCGTTCTCGTCGGGACCCCTCGTCTGTTACGCGCCCACTACGATCTCCATGGGCGGCATTTGGAAGGGGGAGAACCCTTTGGACTACGCATTCCCTCTCTTCATCTTCCAGCTGCTTCTCATGGTCCTCACCACCCGCTCCGCCGCCGTC